CAAGTCACTACACGACTTTTAGGCTATGAAAAAAATAACATTGAATCTTTTACACCCTGGCATTTGTTGATCTCTAAATTAAAAACTCTTGGTAAAAAAAGTATAACATTATTCAAGGCAATTTATATACCATTTTAAACATGGTTGTCCCAACAACTTCTAAAAGATAATATATTTGAGTAAACTATTAATGATCATTTTTTAATAATTAAATGTTTCTATTTAAAAATTGCTCTTTTACTTTTCGACCTATCATCAATTGTATAGTTTCTGTTTGTAACGAAGGGGGAAAGATGGGCAAGTTGAAAATTGGAAAACAAACTACGTCTGGCCAAAACACGTGATTTTCTAGAAATTACATTTAGATTTAGATCAAAAACAAGTAATTTTAAAAAATATTTTGGTAAGGGAAATATAAAATATTATACATTAAAAATATGTTATATACATGATTAAAAACTTTTTTCTAGAAAAAAAATTCCTTTTATACTATAATAATTATTAGGAAATTTAGCCATAATGCATTACCACATTAAAACAATAGAGTTGTAAATGTAATTGCTCAAAATTTATAATGGCTAGCGTAAATACTAAGCGCAAAGATTATAAGCTTAACAATTATAATTGTTATGCCCACATGAATTAATTTATTGCCCATTTATGTTTAAAATAATTTATTTTAACAGTGGATTTCCTATAGGTATATGTATACTATACATACTATACATTGTATAGGTACAATAGTTTCAAAAATGGCGAAAGCGCCCGAATTATAAATTATAGACGTAATATGTCATTTGTAGTAGGTATTTTATTTATTAAATGTAAAATAAACCAGACCAAATTATTTATGTAATTAATAATAGTTATTTACGCCAATAGGCCAAAAAGTAAATCTTTAGCTCAAAGCTCAAAGTTTGGTTTTGTTCGTATTTTTACTTTTGCATATACTTCATTCGTAAGTCTTTAACGTCATAAAAGCCTTTTATCTTGCGTTTTTTTAAAAAGCTGTGTCGTTCTTAAAAGTTGTTTGGGAAAGGTAGGGAAATTTTTAATGACTGTAGGAAAAAAACACAACTTATTAGTGAATAGGATTCTTTAGGTTTTTAATATTTTCTTTTATTTTAGTAAATAATATTAATGATATTGAATTTCTTACATAAGGCATATTTAAGCTAGTTTTGGGCATAAAACTGTTAACTTGATCTATTATTATTTTTGTAGTTTCTAGATCTACATATACCTATACAGATAAAAGGAAATGTCCCTTGTCAAGCGGATATAAAATGTTTCCCTTGTTAGTCTTAAATAATTATAGATGTAGTAATAATACGTAATGTTTTGTTAATTCCAAAAATAATTGGGTCAGTAGGAAATATTAAACTGTTTTTAATTAATGCTTTTTTATGATAATTTTTTTTTATAAATTATTATTAATTTTTAAAAATTAGTTTAAATTTTGTGTGTTGCATGTTTATTTGCTCTCAGCTATTCATACAAAAACTTTTTCCATTGAACAAAATCAATCTTAATAAGTCTACTGCGATAACGCAGCTTGAAGCTTGCTACAAGAACATTTGTACACTTCGGCAAAATATCGATTAAAAGGCAATCAATTAAGGAAAACAAATTCCCACTAATTGAATCTAATATAAATAGCACGAATTAATTGTTTTTTTTCTGCAATGCTTAAATAATTGGACAGAATAAATATAATTTAATTCTACTAATGCAGCTGAAAATTCCGGGCAAAGCGTGAATTCAATTAAATAAAAACCATAAAATAATATTTACTTTTTACATCGTTTGTTAATAGTACTTTTATTTAGGAAAAAGTAAACTGACAATAAACAAATAAATTACATATAAATAAACCTTTAATATTTTTAAACTATATATATAATATTTTTGACTAATTTAAGAAGGGACAGTGATCACAAGCCCGAACAGCTGGCCAAAAATAAAAATCAGTAGTTTTTTGGGGTGAAAAAAATCGAAATTTTAGGTCAAAATTCGCAAAAACAAAATGGCTGACTAAAAATTGTTGACTGAATTTGTTAAAATTGACAAAAATTAGTACTTGTAGGTTTTCTATGGTAAAGTGCAAAAATGTACGTTTGACCTATAAATTTCCAAAAACAAGAGAACTAGGATTATTTAAATCTTTTTACGTTAATGAAAGTTAATTCTTATTCTTAAAACAATGCTTAGCTAAAACAAATGTTTTTTAAGCGTAGCAAGTATAAGAAAAATCTTAGATGACAGAATCCAAACACGACAAAGAATACCTGCCAAACACCGCCAAATTTCCATTTAAATCTTTAAATTTAAATTTTAAAACAAATACACCCTATTAATATTAAAAAAAATTAATTGGGAATAAATAACAATTTAATGTTTATATCAATTAAAAATACATACCTTAAGGAAGGTAATACAGTTTACTGCAGATGCAGACTTTAAAAACACAATAATGAATCAGCTTTAAACTATGTCTAAGCTCGCCGACATTCCCATGTAAGTTAGGGCACCACCGAAACTACAACTTCCCGATACTTTTGTTTAGTAACAGTAAGCGCAAATAAAAATTCAAATGAAAAATGTTAAACTCTAGCGTATTAACTTTTAATGTTTCCACATCAAAATGTATTTACTGGAAATTTAAAAAAAGGCTTTTGGCCAAAAAATTCTTTTTTAAAAACCATTTTATTTAATTATTTTGTACATGTTAATGTTGAATAATACGGATTAAAAAGTATCTTTAATTTAAAAATTAATGCCAAAATAATAAGGGTAGTAAATTATTTTTCTTGCTTAGTTTATGTTAGGATACCCATTTTTAATAATACTAAAATTATCATGCCCGTAGAAACACATTTTTCCCAAACAGTAACCTAATTAACTAATCCTTTTGGCAAGAAAAATATAAATATAATTAAGATTTTCTTGTTGAAATTAGATTTGCAGAATTTAAAAAAGTAGCACATTAATTTTGTTTTAACAACGCATGTCAGAAACACATAGAACAAGTTAATTTTAAAATTAAATATGCGACGCAGCCGAATTTTTTTTTGTTCTTTGACCTAAAGCTTTATACATTTAATTTTTTTATTGCGATGGTGAGTTTCAAGCAATTTGTTTGGGCTTTTATGAATTTTTACGTGTCTCTAGCCACTACGTTTATTTTATGCATAAATTAATTATGGAAAAAAACTTGAATTTTATGTTTGACGAAAGAATATATACATGATCGACTTTTTTTTAAATAAAAAAATTGATTTTTTTAGATGCGCGGAACTAACATGATGATCAGAGCAATGGCGCCGATGTACTTCTTCCTCTTAGATGATAACAAAAAAATAATTGACACTGAAATGGCAAATAAATCAACAAAACCATTGGAAATAGATGCATTCATATTTTATTAAATTAGGTTTTTTTTTTTTAAATTTAAATAATTTATGTAGAGTAAAAACTATTTGAAATATTGCCTTTTTGTGCCCTTTTTGTCTTTTCCCTATTCAGGTGACTTTAGGAGCCTTTTTAAATTTTAAAGTGCCCAAGAGTCTATTAATAAAATTAATCCCGGTGCATTCGCCATTTTTGAAAGTCCTAATTTATTGTTTTTGTTGTGCTTTCAGACTTTTGGTTAGTAAATTTGCAATATTTTATTACGTACCTAATTGTGTAAATCGGGATGGTAAGATAAATTTAAAAAAAATGTTTTTTTAAAACGGCAAATAAAAATTCACAATAATTAACATGATTATTTCCCTCATTCTAATATGAACCAATCACTTGAATTTTCGAATAAATTTTCGAATTGATTGGTTCATATTATAATGAGGGAAATAATCGTTTTTAAAACTAGATAGGTACATTATTAATTTTGGAAAATCAAAAAACACTTTAAAAAAATTTCAAAGTTGTTTAACCCCAAATGATGTTGTATTATAAATCAAGTTTTATCTACAAAAATTGTTGTAGCGTCCGTAATAATAAAAAACTATGAGTAAAAACTACCTTGCTTATGATGCTTATAAGCTTAAGCAATAGTAAATACTATTGCTTAAGCTTATAAGCATCATAAGCAAGGTAGTTTTTACTCATAGTTTTTTATTAAATATAAATAAATATTTAATTTTAATATTAATATTTAATTTAATTACGGTAGTTTTTAATCAACAAAAATTTGCGTCGTATTTCCATATTATTTATATGGAATGGCTGACATATTATATTATATTATATTATTTATTAACTGAACAAGATTATATGTAATCAATTAATACAAATGACGTATTATAACAATAATTCTTAAAATAATAAAAATTATTAATGTTCTTAATTGTTAATCAAATGAATTAGATAGATACCCAAATTGTAATTCCATTTATTCAATGAAAATTTACTTTGTAATATGAATTTATTTGAATCTTAAACAACAACTTTGAAGTTCGAACTTGTCAGCTTAGCATTTTATAAAAAAATATTTTTACTTTTATTACGCCCAATCTATTTTAATAGAGTTTAAAAAACTTTTGTTATATGTTATCTTAAACGTTTAAATGTAGATAATCTATTTTTATGATCAAATAAAATTTTATTTGGGATTCAATATTGATAAATTTGATGGTGTTAACGAGTACATACCTATTTATTATGATATATATAAATATATAAAACTATGTTTATTTGATGCTAAACGCAAATAGACAGCAAATTTTCTATTATTATCGTCGACTTTGATTCGTCAGGTCAACGGTATTTTTAGACGCAAGAGTATTTCGGAAAATTTGAATGAAATTTCGTAATTTTCTTAAAAAATGTGCTATTTTTATTCCTATACGATTTGCACTTTTTTAAAGCGAGAATTTTATTTTAAAAAATAATTAAAATCACGTCACAAAATAATTATAGAAAAACTGAAAAAAATCTTCATTTAGGCGTTTCCGTAGGAAACAGTATAAAATTAAAAAATAAATCCATTGTGAACGTACCGTTTTCATCACTATCACTATCACTCTCAGAAGATGATGATGATGAGGACGATGACGATGAGTCCTTTTGTTCGAATAGTTTATGTTTTTGATCCGTATTAGGCACTGACACTGTTGTTAGATGTGTCCGAAAATGCCTTAAAACTTGAACTTGAACACTCTGAAATAAAAAAGAATCATTTGGTTATTGTTTATCTTAATTTACTTACGAAATACCTAAAATTTAATAGCGAAAAAGCAACCACTAATAATTCTCGTCAACAGCAATTATTATCCCTGACATTTAGCAGTCAATTCCTATGTAAAATCTGAATACGAAAATGTCGTCAAAAGTTATTAAAGTAAAACATAGAACATAAAAGTAGAACATAGAACATAAAAGTAAATGTTTCATGTAATATGGAATTGACTATATCTTAAAAACTGCTCTACTTTTATCATTTTTACGGTATTTTCGGATTTAGGAAATAATTTAACAGAAGAATTGACTTTTAAATGTTCGGGATACAAATTGATGTGGACTGCAGTTATTAGTGGCTGCTTTTTTACCATTTTTGACTAATCTATTTTTAGAGTAATTTATAAAATATTTAAACGTTTAATAGAAAATAAATTTAAAATTAATTTTATGACAAAATTTATATAATTTTTAAAGATGGTTAAAAATGTCTCAAAAGATCACCCAGATTCTAATTTACGTGTGATCCATTTTTTTAAACAGAATAACATTTGCAAATATTTGCCTAATATATAGGTTTTTTTTCATTTCAAAATTCAATGAATATCATATCTCAATTGACATTTATTCGGATGTTTATTTTATTATGTAAACTATAGTTGTATTTTTATAAAAATTTATGAAAAAAACATGATATATGTACATCAATTTTGAATTAAAAACAGAATTGCAAATAACATTTCGTTAAAAAAATTTACTGACATATTTTAAATTTAAATTTAATGTAACATTAAAATCCCATAAATATCACCCATAAACCAATCTATTTATAATTATTTTTTTCTACTCTAATGACAATAGCAAACTTTACAACTCAAAAACTTTTCAACAGCGCGCTGCAGCAATACATTTTCCACTTAAACCGAATGTCATATCTATAAAACTTTTTACTTTACAGCACCACTATTTTATTCATTAATAGATACAATAAATTTAAAAGCTACATTGTTTGCACACAGTATGATGCATCATACATTTTACGTTACGTTATCAGTCTAAAAATGTGTACACACGTAATCTGGTACAAAACAATTTTTTAGTCCTAAAATATTTAAGTGATATTTAGAAATTTGCTTGTTGTAGGGAAATTGAATTAAAAGAGGCGTTAGATTTTGTATATTATTTTTTTAATTACCCTTACTGAAAATACAATATTGGATCAAAAAATCATTTTTATATACTGCACAGGAAAAAACTATTTCATGCCCTCTAGTAATTAAACAAGACAATAAATAACTTGCATGGATAAATGTTATTGAGAAAATTTTATCATTAAAAATAGTATAAATGATATGGTAATATGGTAAAATGTTACTGTTCAAATCTGTTTTGAATTTTCGAATATACCTATTTGAATATTTTGAAATATTATTGTGTTAGGGTTTTAGGGTAGTTGATCTAAAAATAATGGTCGGAAAATTCAATATATTTAAGAAAAACTTGTTTTTAATTTATAGGAGTTATACTTTTAAAAAGGCCCAATATTACTAAAAAAAATAATAAAAGTACTTGTTTTATTTGTTTTAATTTTGTTTCCAATGTAATTAAAATATTTAATATTTAAAATCAATTTATTAAATGCTAAATAGGTTATACAGGTCCAAAAATCACCGGACCAAACGAAAGGAGTCGATTCCTTGCGAAAATCTGAGACGAAATTTCCTTTACTATTATTTCGACTTGGTATCATCGCAAAATTGGCGACCCAAATGGAAAGGTTAATTCCTCTTAAAATTTCAAGTTAGGTTTTCCTTCACCATTTTTTCGAATTCGCAAAATTGCAGTAGTTTTTAAGGCCGCCAATATGAGCAGTGTTTCTGTTCTATAGGGCGAGTTTGCGACAACAGTAGAGATGCGACTTGAAAAAAAACGGTCCGTTTTTTTTGTTTTTTTCATTGTTTTTTTTCAATTGGTTTTTTTTCACATTTTAGGTTTTTTTCAAGATTAGTCCCATTTGCCTAATTTTTTAGGTTTCATGGACTAAAATTAGCCACTAAATGACAATTAGTAAATGTAAATACAGTTTCGCGCTATGCACGCGCCACCACCACCGAATTGACCAATAAGGGCCGCGCTTGTTTTGATTTTGTCCTAAAAATAGTAACTACATATAATATTTTTGATTCAGCGCTTGAAAAGCTACCAAAAGCACTTTTTTCATGATTTTTTAAATTCATGTAGAGTATGGAATTTTTTTTTCAAAAAAACAATAGCAAATTCTTGTAGAACATTTATTCATTGGTCGTTAAGTCAGAACATTCCGTGGACCAGAAAGCCAAAAAAAACGATTTTTTTTATTACGGTATTTGTTAGGATTGAGCGTTGCACATTTTTCATCTAAAAATCTCAAAACTAGAAACTTTAAGCTTCAAATTGCTTTTTTTACGGCTCCAATACGACCATTTTTAACAAAGATACAGCTATCCGAAGAATCGGAAAACAATTTAAATAATGAAAAATTTAATATATTCTACATTTCACTTTATTATTAATATGTATTTTACTTAAAATTTCATTTTGAAAAAAAAAAACAAAAAAACCGTTTTTTTTTCATGTTTTTTTTTCACATCTGAAAAAAAAACCGTTTTTTACATCTCTAGACAACAGGCACCAATTTGTGTTTATGTTTCCTTTTTTAATGATAGAATATGAAATAACTCCTGCAATTTTGCCAATTCGGTGATATTGGGTCACCCTGTATACTGTTGTAATATACCGCTCATCATCAATGAATTTTTTTTAAATACACTTAAATACAAGTTACTAATCATATTGGATATTCACAAATCTGAACAAAAAAATGTATCTGTTTATTTTATTCAGTTTTGTTTTTATAGTTTTCATTTTAAGGTGCTTTTTAAAAAATTTATGGTTTTCTAGAAATTAAAGGTGGGAAGTTTTAAAATGAACACCCTATATTCTTATATACCCTATATACAAACCTAAAACCTTACGACATTTACAATTTTCAGCGCAAAATTTTGTTGTGACCATAAACCAACAAATGTTTTCTGTAACCTGCATGTATTATGGATGAATGACCTTTTTACGGTGAGCCGGCAAATGGCATTCTGTCCTTTATGCAAATTTATAAGAACCTGGTGCTAAGTATAAAAATACATAGGCATATGAAATTTTAAATACGAAGTGTCTAAATAAACTTAAAGTAAAAGATACAAGTAAAAGATAATAATTACATTTAGTTTAATGTTATAAAAATTATAAATTATTAAAGTTTTATTTATAAATTCTAAAAGTTTTAAATCATGTCGTAATTATTATAGTCTACATAGAGAAAAGAAAACGGTAACCATTTATCACAGAACACTAACCATTGATGCGCAGAACAATAATCAACTTAATATAGGTACAATGTCAGTGTTTAATATATAATATATAATATATAATATATAATATATAATATATAATATATAATATATAATATATAATATATAATATATAATATATAATATATAATATATAATATATAATATATAATATATAATATATAATATATAATATATAATATATAATATATAATATATAATATATAATATATAATATATAATATATAATATATAATATATAATATATAATATATAATATATAATATATAATATATAATATATAATATATAATATATAATATATAATATATAATATATAAATAATATATTTTATAAAGAAACATACATGTTTTAAAATATTTCGTGTTTTAATATTATACCGGGTGAATATTTTTTCTTGGTCATGTAGTCATTACGTCATTAAGTACTTCTGATTTTGAACAATTTTAAAGTAAAATTTATTGGGCTATAAACAAAAACATGCCGTTTGTAAACCCAATTTGTGTTTATGGGCGGTTGCGGTAAATTAACGTTGTCGTCCTACACCGAAATCTAAATCAGAAAGGGAGAAAATTGCTCATACGCTTAACAATTTAAATTGCGACCCTCAAAACAACTTACTTAGCTGGTGTATCAAGGATGACATGGGTTGTTCATCAACTGTTACGTACGAATTTCGAGCCGACATGATCTGGCGTCTTGTGTTAATAAATAAAGGAGTTGGCAATTTGTTCAGGAATTTTGCTGGCATTTTAGGCCAGCTAGTCTTTTCTGTTGTGTTTTAATTTCTTAAGAATGATTAGAGAAATACTAAATGCGGCATCTCATCTCCCGTTTTTTCTAGCTCAGATATTTATTAAGGAATTTTGATAGAAGTGTGCATTTAATTATTTTAGATTATATACCTACACAGTAAAAAAATATTGGTTAATTTTAACCAAATATTAACCAGCTTTTATGTTAATCCAGGTCCACATAACTTTATGTTAAGTTTGTAACCAAATGTAATCTGTTATCTAATTGAATAAGTAGTTTGTAATTATAACAGACATTTTGTAGATTTATTAACAAAATGCTTCGTCAATAATTTAACCATAATTCTTGTAATTTTCAAAAAGGACCTTATTTTTACAAACCTTGATGTCGACCCATTAACAAAAGTATTTGTTGGAAATTGGAAACTTGAATATGAGGCGCCGTTTGTGTCAAAATTAAAAGTGCTAAATAAACTTATTTTGTTTTATAAATAATTAATTATATGCTTTATAAAATTATTATTACTTTTGATTCGCAGAAAATTATTTTATAAAAAAATAATTTTATAAAAAAAAATTATTTTATAAAAAAATTATTTTATAAAAAAAAATTATTTTATAAAAAAATAGTTTTATTAAAAAAATAATTTTATAAAAAAAAATATTTTATAAAAAAAAAATATTTTATAAAAAAATAATTTTATAAAAAAAAATTATTTTATAAAAGACGACGGGCGCATTTATAAATTAATTTTTACTGCAGCCATCTCTCTTTGTTTGTAGACACTCGAGTAAACCCGAGTGAACCCGAACGCCCTTCC